CCTCGAAAATTGAGTTTTTGGTAAAAAAACAAAAACAAAAAATGCCACGAACAATCTGCAACTTATTGGTGCGACTAGTAGTGTCAATTATTTCATTAACGTTTTGCAGAAAGATATCCTTATCTTCTGATTTATGGTCGCTGAAAATCAGAAATAACAGCAAATCTCTCCAATTACAGATTTTGCTGCTCGTCGATCTCTAGCACCTGGTTCAATTCCAACGCGAATCTAGTTCTGATTAGAGGCACATCGAGGTACAACAACGCTAATCTAGTCATCAGCTATAGCTTGCTTTGAGAAGAATTCCTCTAAGTCAGAGAAAATCAAGGAGTAGTGTTAGGAGAGTTATTTTGGCAAACTTTATGCTTGTATAAAAAATTAAGAGTGCATCAGACAATGAATGTATCAAACATCAGATATGTGGCAATCGATACTCGATGCATAAAAACAGAATTGCAGTAATAATTCTACCAGTAAATCTGTACATTGGAAAGAGTAATTAGATTTCGAAACAACAATAGCCGAAATAGAGACACCGACAAAACAAACTACGACGAAAGTTCAAACACTGGCAATTTGTACAATAGTCCTTCAAAAGAGATCAAAGCGAAGTGAGCTGAGTGTTCTCTCCAGACATCGTGTCGTGGTTCTCCACTGGTGCCAGAGGTTCGGGAGCATAGCTGCTTGGAGCTACTGCTATGGCACTGGCACTTATGGGGATGTGTCCATAAATGGAGCCAAAGCTCTGCTCATAAATGGGAGGAATGCTGTAGATATCCTTAGCAGCACTGTCTCCGCAAAACGGTTCGGTTTTTGGCACGATTGGATTAAGGGGTGAGAGCGTATCAATGGGTGCAAGACCTAAGTGGACGAGGTAGTTTGTGTAGTCTGGAAGAGGTGCTGCTTGTAATAGGTTGGACAGAACATGGTGGTTCTGTAGCACTGGAGATGGAGTAGGTTTCAGCTGAGGTGGCGGAGTTGGAGCCGGATTCGTAGGCGGTGATGGCGACATTGCTGATGATGTCTGCTGAAAAGAAAGAAATATATTTCGAATCATATAAATTTTTGCATAGGGACTGAATAGTATGGAGGTTTTTGTATTTCGAAAATTACAGAACGAACATAT